AATGCATGCCCTGTTAGCTTTAAACTAGAGAATTTGACTTTTCGATTATCCGGAATTTCTTTTCATTCGAAAAATTGATCCATTTTCTCTACCCATTCAATGAATTGTTAAGGTTGTAATTTTCCTTCAAAATTATGAACATCAATTTTAATTCCGTAATCCCAATTTCTTTGTCGCTATTTTGATTTCTAGGTTCTTCCTCACTTTCAGAAGTATGAACACTAGGATTAACATAAGCTTGATTGACATTTAGATTAGCAATTGCTTCAGCTACCGTGTTGATTTAGTGTTGCAAATTATTCAATTGTTGCATCATTTGTTGCCAATCCCCTTGATCATTAGCCATTTGTTAAACACAAAAGAGAAAGAATCCTATCAACAAAAAACGAACTTGCTCTGATACCAAGTTGATGAAAGCACAAGTGTAAGAAAACTGAAACAAAGAGAAAAATGGATAGAACTCAAACCACTCTATTCAAATAGTAGCAATCATCTATAACATTCAAAATCCAACAAAGAAAACACGATAGACTTAAAGAAATAAAGAAAATAGAAACAACGCTATCCTCAGACAACCGTCAAAGCGGGTTCCTCACATGCATCGAAATGTAGGTTAAATAAAATAAGTGCATAGGGCTAGCAAACCAATGGTCCACCAATGCAAGATCGTCTAATTCTTCCAACAAATGCTTCCAAGTCAACCAACAAACACTACTAAAGCTCGAGAAGAAGGATACAGATGGAGTGGTACTTGCGGAGAGACGAAAGAGGTTAGAAGCCAAGACGAAGGGGGGAAAGATCTCACAAGATTTCCATAGGAGGTGGAGAAGAAGAATGGAACAAGCTCACAAGCTTTTCCAATAACCCGCAGGTCAATAGCAATTGCTCACAATAATCAACTCCCATTTCTTCACAAAACCTCTCATATTTATAGGTAAGAAAGGAGAATGCCAACAGCCACTTTATTGAATTTCCACAAGAACCCAAGCATCATAAGTCACGGATTTCCCCATTGCTTTTCACGGAAAAACAGTCCAGTCAAAGAACCGAAGAGGCAGCCACGGAACCAAGGCGTCAAAATGCAAGGAAAAGCCCCCAGCTCAGAAAAACCAAAGGCCAGCCGGAGACCCAAGGAGAAAAGGCATGGAATTAATCCAGCACAGGAAGCTCAAACACAGCCACGGATTCCCAAGAGACAAGGGAATATTTTAAAGAAGAAAGGGGAAGGGGAAGGGGAAGGGATAAGTCCACTCCAAAAATTGAATCCAACTTATGAGGTTACCTTTAGAACATTAATGAGCTACTTAACTTCAGCTCATCATTAATGAGCTAGCAACAAATGAGCTCAATTCCAACCTTCTCCATACATCACCATAGGCCCCAAAACTGTGGACCATAAGCCAACCCGTGAACCAGCAGCAGACAAGGACCAATCGAGCCAGCAAACCAAAGGTCTACCAAGTCCCACGCACAACCTACCATGTTCATTGGATGATTTCCCATCATTGGATAGCTAAAAAATGAAAAGAACATAAAACATACTAATGTTCAAATAAAAATACAAAAATATTTGATAACATCAATCTCCAATCCCTCCTATCCTTGGGACGAAATCTTTCGCTCTCTTCCTTGTCGTCGCTTTACTCTCACAATGATCTTATGGTGGTTGAATGGATGAAGAGTATTTACCCACTTTATTGTATTCCTTAGCATTTATAAAATTGTTGTCTAGTTTCAATAGTTCAATAAGTTCCATCATCTATGATAGACCGAGTGCGTATCTAAAAAGACACCATCTTAATCCTTCAGTTAATATAGCTTAGGCAACTATAGGTTCCAAATCACCAATTTCCATCATCTCCCTTTGGAACCTCAAGCTCTTTTGAGACTTTTGGACAATTGCATATTATGTTACGAATAGCCTCAACTAGCAACCATGGATACCCTCAACGAAGTGCATATAAGGAAGGTTGGCGGTCGATGAGCAATTTCTTCATGGTAGGTTCAACTGGCACAAGCGAGCTCCTCCACCCTCAGCGCTAATGTCCATGTTACCTTTAATGGCCTAAGGTTCCTGAGACAGACGGCGATCATGCTGTGGCTTTGGTCTCCAATCCCTCCTATCCTTGGGATGAAATCTTTAGCTATCTCTTCCTCATCGTTGTTTTACTCCCGCAATGATCTTATGGGGGGTGAATGGCTGAAGAGAATTTAGCCACTTTATTGTATTCCTTAGCATTGATAAAATTATTTGTCAATTCCAATAGCTCAACAAGTACCATTTGCTACAGTAGACCGAGTGCGTATCTGAAAAGACATTATCTTAGCCCTTCAATAAATGCGGCCTAGGCGACAACAAGTTCCAAATCCCTAATTTCCATCATTTTCCTCTGGAACCTCACTATAAAGTTCATTAGTAATTCTCATGTCTCCTGCCTCATCTTCAGCAGAGATTGCAAGCTTTTTTGAGACTTTTGGGAACTTGCAAATTATGTTTCAAACATCAACTTGAACTTAGCAAAAGACTTAATCACGCCCAGAGGAAAACGAATGAACCACCTTAGCTCGGACTCCGTAAGTGTGGTGAAGAAAAGCAAACACTTATGGGTATCTCCCAGAGAAATCATTGACTCATAAGTCATCACCAGATCGATGGAGGCAATTTTGCTATTTTACTACATATGAGGCATTTCGAACTTGGGAGGAAGCCTCACCTCATCAATGGCCTTGGAAAAGTCATTAATAAGTTCATACCTCTCTTTGGATTTGCCTAATTAGCGAACTATAATCTTCATCACTCGTCCATCTATGAGTGTAGTCAGGAATAGGTGTCAAGGTTAGTGTGCGCTTTGGGCGCCTATGATGATTTGTTGAGTCGAAGGACCCCTCGGGGATGCTATTGACTCACGCTCGCCCCTAGAGACCTCCTAAGGCATTTACTCCATCTCCTGCAGATCTCAATGGTAGGTGAACTCAAAGTTTTCCATGTTGATTGAAAGCTCTCATGGAAATCACTAGACTACCTAAGCCTGCATCTTGTCGTTGGCATCAATCCACAATCATCATATCTGAGAGGATGTTGAGTCCAAATTTGTACATAGATAATGCATAACCTTAGTAGCAAGACAACCTATTGAGATAGAACCTATGAACAAAAAATGGAGTGCAAAGATAGTAGAGAGAGAATAGAGGAAAAAGATTGAAAATCTCAAACTACCAGAATATTCACTGCCAGAGAAGAATTTAGAATTCAAGATTCACAGATAAAGTGACCAATTCTAAGATTCAAAATCTTAAAAAAAAAAAAAAAAGTCTTCCAACTATTTCTCCTCACCCCCTATTTTTAGTTTTGAGGGATACAAGAAAGGTTATACAAAAATAAATAAATGAAAATACATGTCATACAGAATATCCGTACAACACCATATGCTAGTCCACATGTCGACTCCTGCTAAGCTAGAGAAGAGTGAAGTCATCGGGTGAGTTTGGTGGTGGTGAGTAGAATTCCAATGAGTCTGCAAGTGAGCCCTGGCAAATGGTTGGGCATCACTAATGTAGAAGATCTCAGACTGCCTTAAGGAATCATACGAGTAAAATGTTACGAGAATGAAAGAGCTTTATGTCGGAATGTTGTAGTTAAATAATGTGTCTTCTCTTCCAGTAGCTAAGTTAGGCGAGTTTGAATATTCAACGAGGAAAGCTAGTAAGAGAGGTAGTAGCATGTAGCGATTCGACAAGGGGCCTTAGTTCAAGCCATGTTGAACGAGCTTCATAATAGGCTCAGGTAAGTTGACTTGTCGATCCATTTAAGGAGGTATACAGCTTTAACTACAACCTTCCGGCAAGACTTGGTAGCTACCTATGAAACACGAACGAAAGCATTCATGAGTATACAGCTTCAGCGTGATCATTTTGTTCATATGAGCACATATCCTCATTCACCTCCTCAAGCACTGTTACATAGTGTAACTTTCTTATGAGAAAAAAAATTTGTTCTTTCATTATGGTTACAACACATGTAAAAACTTGATCAAAATAGCTGCACATCAAATAAATGTATGTCTTTTAATGCAATTGAGCAAAAACAACCGACTTGTTAAGAGGGTCATGCGATAGATGTGAAGATCATCAGAAAGAAATTCAAGAGATCTATTTAAACTTGAGATGAAGTGAAATAATAAAATGAAGCTTTGGGAATGTCTTTTATTTTAAATTATTATTTTTATTTGATTAGCCAAAAAAACCCTAACATTTAACGCTACACCTCTTATTTATTGCACAGAACGGCAAGGCATTCCCATCCTTGTTAAGGTGTACGCCTCGTCTAGTAGACCTACAAGATGCATACACCTCACGGTGAACATTTTTAAAAATCAAAGAGGCGCATCGCTTCATGTGCAATTTAAACATATGATTTGAACCCCAAAAAAAATTTCATTAATCAATAATTAATGAATTATCAAGAAAGGCTTATGTTGTTGTTGCTGAGTAGTTAATGAATTATCAAGTAAAGCCATGAATCCCAATTATAGAAATAGAGTTACAACAATCAGGCTAACTATTTGAAATAATATCAAATAAAATACTATCAAATATTCAAATTTAAACCTAATATTACCCAAAAGAAGATAATTCAGCCTCATAAAATAAATTAAAAAATATATTAGAAAAATCGGCCTTCAATTAAACAGTTTTAAAAAGGATTGAAAATTGGTTCAACTTCATTGTACCCCGCTTCAACTTCTTTAGGTTATGCCACCAAGCATTATTGGTCTTTTTTAGACTATATTAGTCGAATTGTTCTGTATCAATAACTCATAGCACCACCCACCACGCAACAGCAGCTATAGGGATACATTGCAAATCAGTACCGCACGTGTTTATCCTTCAATTTTTGGAACATAAAAGCTTGATACTTCCCATATTTCAAGTTTTACGTTGTCTAGCAATCAAATTGGCATATAAATAAAAAAGAAATCTATTTTGAACACAATGCTTACGTAAAATGCTCAGAGAAACCTTCAGCATTGCGTTTTGCAGTTGGGAAGAATTCAAGTATATTATCCTCCATCTTTCCCTTCTTCAAAAGTGCTATAAGATCATCTATGTTACTGTCCTTCAGATACTCCTTAAAGAAGTCAGTAATGAATGAAAGAACTAGTCCCTTGGCAACAAGATTATCCTTAAGCAAAGGCTGGAAGACAGTCTCAGGAGGAAGACCTGATAGCTTTTGAGAAAATGTAAGGGCAGTGAAAATTGCAAGCTTCTTCCTTTCATTCTCCTCAAATAGTTCCAAACACTGTAAAAATCTTCGCATAACATTTTCTAAGTTTTTAATTAGAAAAGGTCGGCGCCGTAAGATTTTTTGTATATAAAGAACAGAAGGCAATATAGCTTCCCGTGTCGCCTCACAATCTATAACAGAATAAGAATGTCTATCTCCTTCATCAGGCTTTATGGTGCCAGGTTGAGTGCGGCCTCCAGTAAAGATGACCTTCAATTACACAAAAATTTCAGCAGTTATGCAGCAAACTTTTATGATGGCTAGACATGCAAAACAGGAGCTCTAAAGAAAGATAGTAAATATAGTTGGAGTCCTGCATAAATTTAGCTTATTAAATGTTCAGATTTTGCAGGACATTCTATTGGCAATTAAACGAGGCCTAAATCAGAAAGAAAAAAGAATAGAGGGAAGATCAAAGCACAAAACACACCATAAATTTTATATATGCTTAACCCAGTTGATGGCTAACTCATATGATCACAACTGCAAATTTCACAATAGTTTTGTTTGTGAAATTTTACAGCCCTAATGCCTCAAATCAATCACAAAAACATCACCCCAATTTATAAAAAAGAAGAGACTCACCAAAATTTTGGTAAAATCCTCGAAACATCCTTAACAAGCCAGTTTGCGTAGGTAGTTTCTTCATAAGACAAAAATTAGGATCTAAACTTAACACATTTATAAGTATTGAGAGACCACCTATCAATGCTCTTATAGAGACAGACATGAGGATAATTTTTTTAGTAACAATGCAGAAAAAAAAAAATCAATAAAAATTTGAAGTTGATTTATTTGAAAAGCATTGTAACTAATCATGACATTGAGCTAAATACTTTAAGGTTGGCACAAGAATGGTCATCCATATGATACAACATTACAACTACAACAACATCAAGCCTTTGTCCCACTATATGGGGTCGGCTACATGAATCACTTTTCGAAAGGAACACTTTCGCCCAATTGATTTGTGTTAATCATTAGATCCCTGTGAAGTAGAAATTATATTATATCAATAGTATTGATGATTCATGTAACTGACTTAATCACTAAGGGGCTGTTTGGCAACAAGTGGGATTTAACTTTAGTAGGATTTAGTAAATCCTATAAATCTGGATTTAGTAAATCCGAAATGTGTTAAATCCTGAAAACTGTTTGGTATGTCAAATGCTAAATCCTGTTAAATTCTGAGAAACTGTTTGGTACATATTTCAAGATTTATAGTAGTTAAGAATTTAAATGTGAAGAAAATAATTATAAATTTAAAAAATAAATGTATAATTAAAAATAAAAATTAATGTGTTATGAATTTAATAACATATTATGTATAAAGTACTTAGTAACTATTAATTATATACATTATAATATATATATTTTAAGTTATATTAATTAAGCTAATTATATTAATATTAATTACTAATTATACAATTAAGTTAAATCTAGATAATTAATTTATGCACTAACTATACAATTAGTTATTTAATTAATTTACTTAATTATTAATAATTTAAATTATATTAATTAAATTAAGTTAATCAATAATAACATAAGGCGTCTAGGTTTGCCTTTCATCCTCTGTTTTCATCCTTGTTGCTCGGCTTCGTTACTTTGCAGGAGGTGTATAGATTGCACGCGTCGCTTCTTCGGCTCCTTCCTGGCTATTCGACTTCGCTCCTTCTACGACTTTCCCTCCTGTCCGATCGGAAGTTACAACATTTTGATCGGAAGCAAGAACAGGAGCTCGCTAGCTGTGAAGGTAACTTTCTCCCTTTCGCGCGCTTATTCGGCTAAATCCCATTAAATCCACCGAACCGAGGGATTTAGTAAATCCGGGATTTAAGCCGTAAATCCCTAAATTCGGGATTTCTGAAATCTCGGGTTTTAACGCGCGCACAAAAACCATTTGGCTGGATTTAGCATAAATCCGACTTAAATCCCAACATAAATCCAATACCAAACAGCCCCTAAGTCTAATCTAGTAGATAGAGTTTCATAAAGGGTGATGGTAATAAATTAAGTCAATTGGGTTGTACCCTCCCCTCCTTTGTTATACTTTATATTGGATGAGGAGGAGCAATCATAAGGCATGATATGTACAACTCAAAACCACGAATGTAATCATGGACACACAATTCAAATTTGAAATTAATTGTTCATAAAACTTTTGAAACTAATAGAATTTTTCTAGAACAATCATAGGTTTATAGGGAGGAATTGAGAAGTATTAGATTGATTCTCCTAATCAATTTGAAATGAGAGAGAATGGACTAGCAGCTTGTCCCCTTGGAGACCATGCCCAAGGGTTTGATTGAACCTCGGATGGGATAGAGAGAAAGCCTTAGGTTGGCCTCTTGATCCAGATTTAAAAAGAGAAGAGAAAGAGAATATGAGAAAAGTCATCCAATTTCTTCAAGCTTAATTTTTATATCCTAACACCTCATTATTATAGAAAAATATGATGCATATCTATCACAAGTTCAACTAGATGAACTAATTAAATCATCCTTATATCAGTTGTATTAAATCAAATCAAATTAAATCAAGGAGATATTCTCTTAAGACCTCTCTTAAAAGGTAGTCAATAATCTAGAAATAAATAGAGAAAACTGGAAATAGAATATTATGCAATTTCCATAGTTCCCTCCTCATAGATATCTTTTATATGCTAATCTCATAACTGAAAACACATTGATAATTTTGAAATTGTAAACTAGCAATTTATCTTCTTTCAATTTGTATTTAAAAATTTATCCTTACAAGGTTAAACTTGCAATATGTATATATATATATATATATATAGAGAGAGAGAGAGAGAGAGAGAGAGAGAGAGAGAGAGAGAGAGAGAGAGCTGCCTAGCTCACATTCTTCTCCTATGACTACATTCCTAAAAGATATGTAAGATGAACTTTTTAGTTATCGTATTTGCCCTCCTATGATAATCTTTTTTTAACGTATCTATCAGCACATTTAAATCTCCCTTTTTCTCTCATCTTTGATCATGGTTTATATTTTAAATGCATTTCTAAGTTCTTCCAGAGCTGCTCTCCTCAAAGGAAGAATGATCCGAAATCATTAATATCACAAAATGAATGAATTAAGCTACCAAAATGATTCCAGAATGATGATGAGAATGCTATGGAACCTTGATTCCCAATTTCACCTTTTTAAACATTGATGTTTCCGTAAACAATCAAGGCACCAAGGGTAGGCTGGGATTTAATGATATAAGGATATATATGGCTTTCCTTACATAGTAGATTTCATGGATACATGGGTTAGGGTTTCTTGATTGTTTCTTACAAGAACAATCAAGTAGCATGCAAGATGAGACCATGATAGACCAGATCAATGGATTAAGAAAGAGAAGGTGATTGAATTATCATGCAGGAAGTCTTCCTCCAACCCTAATTGGAATTTTCCATGCCATCTTTGGGACTCCCACTTCCTTATGTGCTCAATTAGAGATAAAGAGAGAGAAATAGAGAGGCAAATGAGAGGAGAAAGAATCATTATTTTGTATTGGAATCCAAACCTAAGATATTGCTCACTAGTTTTAGACTTTAAGATGGAGCAAAATATAAAATATAAAGTAAAATATTTTCCTAAAAATAGATGCGGGCATTTAAAAAATACTAACAAAAGTAGTTTTTTTAGAATACGATTCAAGATCCCATTATTTTAATTGTGCATGAGAAAGTTTATGTTATGTGGGAAAAAATAGCTAGTGATATTAAGAAAGTTGCAAAGCATTTTCTTGGAGTATCAAAAGAAAAAGCTCCCAATAATACTCAGAAAATTAGGAAAGAGTAAGGAGTAATAAAGCAATATGAGATGTAAAAAATTAAGCTTTTAATAATTTATATAATAGATTAGATATTAAAGAGAGAGAAAGATGTATGTATAAGCTAGCTAAACAAAAGGGATAAGAGAATATGAAATATATTAATGATGAAAATAAAAAAGTGTATTTATTAGAAGAGGATATTCAAGATAGATAGATGAGATATTCCGATAAACTTTTAAATGAAGAATATGAGAATAATATTAATTTTAGTGACCTTATCATCTTTAAAAAAAAAACATTATTTTATCATCATATTAGTAAAACTGGAGTTAGAGAGGCTTCAAAGGAATTGAAGTGAAGAAAAACAATTGGATTTGATGATATTGCAATAGAGGTGTAAAATGCTTAGAAGATGAAGGAATTTCTAGGCTTACTAAATTTTTTAATATTATTTTGAAGATTAAAAAAAGTCAAATGAGTGAAGTGTGTTGGTTCCTATTTTTGAGAATAAACATGATACACAAGAGTACGAATTATAGAGAAATTAAGTTAATATGTCATACATTAAAATTATGAGAGAGAGTAATTGAACACAAGTTACGACATGATACTATTGTTTCTCAAAATCAAATTGGATTCAAGTCAGGTAGATCTACTATGGAAGTTGTACATTTATTGATAGGTTTGATAAAGAAGTATAGAGAATAAGGAGGATCTACATATGCTATTTGTTGATATAGAGAAAGCATATGATAAAGTTCTAAGATAAGTGCTCTGAAAAGTTCTTAAAGAAAAAAAAGAGTTAATAATGCTTACATTCAAGTCATTAAGGATATGTATGCAAGAGCAATACTTGTATTCAAACACAATGTGGTTTAACTAAGTATTTTCCTAATTCATTTGGATTACATCACGGATCCATTTTAAGCCCATAATTTTTTAGTTTAATCATAGATGTTCTTCCTAGACATTTGAGAATGTACCCTGATGTATGTTTTTATTGATCATAATCTTCTTGTTGATAAGCTAGAAAGGGAGTTGAAGGAAAACTTGAATTATGGATGTCTAGCTTAGAGTCTATGGGTTTTCATTTGATCTAAAATTCAATACATGGAGTGTAATAGTAGTAATAGATCTAGTGGGAAGATTATAACTTTGAGCAATCAAGTTATTAAAAAGAATACATATTTTATATATCTCGGGCATATTATTCAAAGTAACGGTAAAATATATGGGGTTATTATTAGTAGAATTAAAAAAGGATGGTTGAAGTGGAGGAATGCATCAGGCCTGTTATGTGATAGAAAAGTATCCATCAAACTTAAGGAAAAATTTTGTAAGATGGTGGTGAGACCTGTTGTGCTTTATGGTGTAGAATGTTTCCCATTAATAGAGAAGCATAAAATTTAGTTAAGTGTTGCAAATATGAGAATGCTTTAGGTGGATGAGTAGCTTT